GACTTGGGCATAACAGCATCAATACTGATTTTTTTTCCAGTGTCCCAGGTGAATTCAGTGTGTGGCCAAGTTAGAAACCAGTGCCTTACAACAAAATGAAAAGAAAAGACTGGGAATCTGACTGATTTCTTGGAGTCAATCTGGACTTTTCCCACTGGGTGAGGGCCTCCAGCAGCCCAAGAAAACAGATCACTCACATAACATTAACCTCCAAAGCAAGAACAGTTTGGATAAATTAAAAAATTGAATATTATTTTTTGAGACAAGGTACATTTCTGATGGGGCAGAGTTTTATTTCAAAGGCCTGGAAAAACATGTAATCTTGGTTATGGTCTGGAACCTTCATGTCCTCCAAAGGCCATGCGTTTAAGGGTTGGTCACCAGCCTGTGGTACAATGGGAGGTAGTAAAACTTTTTTTTTTTTTTGTCTGATGGAGATTGAACCTAGGGCCTCTGCACTAAGGAGCAATAAGAAACCTAACCCACAGGACCTGTAGAGTAAGTTTGCAGGTTCGCTGACTGTCATCACAGAAAAAGAATTTTCAGTACACATCAATGAGAGGCATAAAAAGAATTATTAGGCAGAAATTTAGAAGTACACCTTATTTCCCAGAACTGGGTCATTTATGCTTTTTTTTTTTTTTTTTTTTTTTTGAGGGACTGGAAACCCCAGGAAAAGGTGGCCAACCCCTCATATTACAGGTGCTGTTCCATTGTTAAAAATATGAACCCAGAGATTTTTAGATGGATAATATAAGCATTATTTGAATTCTCTCAACCTGTTCCTTTATCTTAGGATCAGGAGTCTACTTTTCACATTCTGAGTTAAACCAATTTATGGACTCAGGATTCCTGAGGAATGTTGGGTGGGATGGGTCTGGAAGGAGAGGCACCTAAATGTAATCAAAGGGACATCAGCCGGAGTCACCCTGAGTGACTTCCACAGGGCCCCAGAAGGTGTAGTCTTCTTAAAAGTTTAGTTATGATTTTCCTTGTCTCCTTTCTACCTTTTATTTCTTCTTTCCTGCCTCATCCTGAGCAGCGCTGTTGTTGAATATGCACTCCCTGTGGCCCTTCCACACGTCCTCTGGGCCCTGACTGCCCTCTTCCTCCACTGGCCCCATTCAGCTCAGCTCAGCCCATCCAGAGCAGGACAGATGGCAGGAAGCACAGCTCTCCCTCAGTAATGGGGAAACTGGCTCCGTCACTGGGCAGGCTCCATGGAGGTCCCAGAGAGGAGGCAGAGACCCTTGAGAGAGTTCGCTGACTCTCCTCACAGAAAAAGAATTTTCAAGGTGTAAAGGGATTTAAGGGATAGAATTTTATAAGAACACACTCAAAGACATAGAGCGTCGGCTTGAGAGAGGGAGCGGGCCAGAGAGAGAGAGATGTGCTTATGGCCTTGAGCTAAGTACATTAATGAGGACTTTTGAGGTAGAAATCTGTGGAGCCTGGGGGGGGAGGTGAAGGGAGGGCAGGGACAAGGGGAAAAAATGAGAACCAAGACCTGTCGTGTAAAGGTACAGGATCCCAGTCATGAGTGTAACTGTACTGTATACCTAGATTGTACCAATAAACTCAATAAAAAGAAAAACAAGAAATCTGTGGAGCCTGTGAGTCTCTGGGAAGAGATGAAAGGCAGTGGTCCTTTCAGGAGACAAAGGGGTGATGGCCCGTTCACAAGTGACAGCCAGCACTGGTGATGGCCAAGACCGTTCACAAGTAAAAGGAATGAGCTGGGCATGGTGACACAGGCCTGTTGTCCCAGCTCTCTGGAGGCTGAGGCAGGACTCTGAGAACTCTGAGAGTTCAAGGCTAGCCTGGACTACATACAGAGTGAGAATCTGACTCACAAAACAAAACAAAACAAAGCAAAAATATAAAAGAAATGGCCATGGTATTTGCAGGTAAATGGGAAAGGCCTTGGGAATATTTTACTGGGTTGGTGTTCTAAACCTGCAATTTTTATTAAAAGTCCAATTCTGAAAATGATTTTCATTGTCTTCTTCTACCTGTTATTATTTCTTTTATCTAATCTCAGTTCCTGGGCTCCCCACGGATTCCAAAATCTGTTATGCTCAAATTTCTTATATAGAATAGCAAACGACAGGCAGGGTGGCACACACCCCTAATTCCAAGACAAGGGGAAAATGAGAACCAAGACCTGTCGTGTAAAGGTACAGGATCCCAGTCATGAGTGTAACTGTACTGTATACCTAGATTGTACCAATAAACTCAATAAAAAGAAAAACAAGAAATCTGTGGAGCCTGTGAGTCTCTGGGAAGAGATGAAAGGCAGTGGTCCTTTCAGGAGACAAAGGGGTGATGGCCCGTTCACAAGTGACAGCCAGCACTGGTGATGGCCAAGACCGTTCACAAGTAAAAGGAATGAGCTGGGCATGGTGACACAGGCCTGTTGTCCCAGCTCTCTGGAGGCTGAGGCAGGACTCTGAGAACTCTGAGAGTTCAAGGCTAGCCTGGACTACATACAGAGTGAGAATCTGACTCACAAAACAAAACAAAACAAAGCAAAAATATAAAAGAAATGGCCATGGTATTTGCAGGTAAATGGGAAAGGCCTTGGGAATATTTTACTGGGTTGGTGTTCTAAACCTGCAATTTTTATTAAAAGTCCAATTCTGAAAATGATTTTCATTGTCTTCTTCTACCTGTTATTATTTCTTTTATCTAATCTCAGTTCCTGGGCTCCCCACGGATTCCAAAATCTGTTATGCTCAAATTTCTTATATAGAATAGCAAACGACAGGCAGGGTGGCACACACCCCTAATTCCAGCACTTGGGAGGCTGAGACAGGAGGATCATCACAAGTTGAAAACCAGTATGGACTACATAATGAGACTCTGTCACAAAAACCTAAAATTAATTACTTAATTAAAATACAATAGCACAATATTTACCTAGAACCTGCCCTCCTGTATACTTTTTTTCTCATTTTTATGGTACCACGGATGGAACTCAGGACATTGCACTTGCGGGGCAGGGAACAGAACCACTGAGCTAATTGTTTGCTCTTTGGTACTGGGGATCATTCTCGGGTCCCTACGCTAGTGAGGCAGGCGGTGGAACCACTGAACTAAATCCGCATAACTCAGCAACAAGCACAAAGCCCAGGGTTCAGTCCTCAGTACTAAAGAAAGAGGAGGAGGAGGAGAGGGAGGGAGGAGGAGGAAGGGAAAGAAGAGGGAAGAGGGAAGAGAAAGAAGCAGAGGAGGAGAAGCAGCCATAAGAAAATCCATTTCCAAAGGGTGACTTGGCACAAAGCTACAAAGTGATTATCTGAGGGTACGCAGATAGGCGTCTTGGTGTGTGAACAAGCAGGCTAGCAAACCAACTGTCAGTTTAGTACCAAGACAAACTGTCACCGAACAGAGAAAAGCGAAATCTTCTTCCCGTGCATCTGTAAAGACCAGTGCTTTGAGAACACAATCCATTTGCCGGTAGGAGGAGGTCAAAGACCTTTCAATCTCAGAGTTTACTCTTCCTGCCAAATACAGGCCCGGATACCATGCCCCCGCCCCAGGCTAGAACCCTTCAGCGTGCAACCAACATTCCTTCCTGGACGCTGAGCACCAACAAACTCACGTCTCCTGGGCTGGGGGGAGTTGTCCCAAGAATTACTCTTTTTGTTGTTGTTGTTTTTACCAAGCTACTTTGAGAATTAAGATCATTAAAGACAAAAGCAGCTGTTAGGTACTTAGCAAACGTAGCTAATCAGCCTCCCGCTGTGCCGAACTATTTAAATACACCAGAGCTGGGCCTCAGGGCTGACGGCAGCGCCCTCGTTCCCTGTGGATCAGGTAATAAGGAAGACCTGAGTAATCGCTACTGCCAAGTAACTGAGGCAGTGATACGTCACACCTGTGCCCGGGATCGACCCTTTAAAGTTGTGTCCGGCTGAGGAATAGCACAGGTGAAACAGCGCATTGCTCGGTGGTGCCAGACTGTTGTCCCTGCTACTTGGGTGGCTGAGGCGGGAGAACTAAGCTCAGGAGTTTGGTGCCAGATAGATGATAGATAGGTAGATGGCAGATGGGTGGATGGGTGGATGGATGGACGGGAAGCTGGGCATAGCCAAGCAGAGTCTTTTCAAAGAAACATGAGCCAATGGGATAAGTTATTTGCCCAAGAATTGAAATGCGATGTGCCTGTGACCCGTTCTCAATCTATCCAATGAGGACAGTTCCCTAAGGAATGGCAGAGCAACAAGATGAGAAGCAGCAGGATCCTGGAAGGACTGGGACAGCTGCCGAGTGGACCCTCATCACAGACTTGGCAAAAGAGATGCAATCGTCCATCTTCTGTTGGTGGGGGGAGAAGCCCTCTGTCCCAGCGTCCTAAACCTTCACCCTCTGTACCCAGCCCGTTCATTTCATCTATACGATGACCCAAGGAGTTGGTTACTATTATTATTCCTATTTCACATGTAAGGTTACTGAGGCTCAGACAAGTCTGAATAATTTGCCCAAATCTATCTCTCAACCACCCGACATGGACTCAATCTTACAGTCTTGCTTGGTGCTTGGATGGGAGGCTACTTACGTGGTTTTACAATAATAATAAATTCGCCCACAACCCCCAAACCATGTGGTGCAAACAGCACCAGAAACCAGATTCCTTCAGCTCCAAAGAACACACAGCAGTTCTGACTCGCTAGGTTTCCAGGCTGAGGCTGAGAATCTGCATTTGTATGAAACTCTTCTTTTATGGTTTGGATAAAAGAAAATGTGCCCCCGCCCCGCCAGGGTCTGATGTCTTCAGAGGTGGGGCTTTGGAAGATGACTGGATCATGGGGATTATGACCTCATAAATGGATAAATGTACAGGTGAGTTCAGAGCTGAATGTACTGTTAGGAGGTTGGGCCCAGTTGGCAGAAGTGGGTCACTTTGGCACGATGGGGGGTCCTGTCCCCACCTCCCTTCTCCCTGGCTCTTCTTCCTGCTCTCCTTGCTTCCTTCCGGTGAGGTGAGCTTTCCTACGCCACACCCTCTACCATCAAGTTTTTACCTTAGAATGAGCTTACAATGGACTGAACCCACTGAAACCATGAGCCAGGTAAATGCCTTTAAATTGTGTATGTCAAGTATTTTGTCCCAACAACTGAAAGTGACTGACACATCCCAAGTGAGGCCAACACCGCTACACCAACAAATCATAATGTGAGCAGCACAGATGTAAACCACTCCACTCTTTGCCTCCCCTAAGAATTAGAAACTAAACATCCAGATTCCCAAATTCTGTTCCCATCTCAAATCACCGTGTCACTAGCTTGGCTTGGCTCCCTAAAACTTTTTTCTCTTCCTGAACTGTTCCATTCTCCTGGAAATTGGCTATATTCATATATCCAGGGATTTTCTTTAATAGGCAAATTCTCTTTCAAAATGGGATTTGCCCTAGGAAGGTGTCATGCTTCCAAAGAGCAATTACCATGAAATTGTGAGGCATGATGCCACTTTCTGCAGATGCTATGACAGCTGTCTCAACCCTCTCTCTCGTCTTACTCTCAGGCTCTAATTCAAAAGAACATTTATGGAGGCTGCTTACGGGGAAAGGGAAAAGCGTAAGTCTTTTGTGCTTGTTTCCACAAGAAATATCAGCTGCCTTCAGGTAAAGAGTACCCAAGCCTGGGGATATATTATAATCGATAGCAAAACCCATTTAAGTACCCAAAACACTCAGTAAATGCAGTCTGGTTGCAGACCCAGCTCCAGGCTGAGAAATCATCACATTCTAAAAGTAAGACAAATCCAGTTCACAAAGGAGAAATGCAAATGGTCAGTAAGCATAGGGAGACAGTTAGATATTAATGGTAAATAAATTATTAAACAACACACCACTCTTCACATGGGAAACCAGTAAAAACTAAAAATGAGTACTAATACCGTTATGGTTTAGATGTTTAAAATGCCGCCCCAAAAAGAAATCTCATGTCTGTGGACGGTGGCTAGGTCGTGGGGGTGCTGTACTCACAAGCGAGGGCATGCCTGACTGTGCTGTTAGGAGATGGGGCCTGGCTGGCAGTGGGACACTGCGGAAGGGCCTAGAAGGGTCTGCCCTTGTCCCTGCACCTGCCCCTCCACCTCTCCTGGTTGTCATGAAGTGGGTCCATTTCTTCCACCATGCCCCTCTGCCATGCCAAAAGGCCATGGACTGAATTATCTAAAATCCATGAGCCAAACTAAAACTCTCCTCTTACAAGCTGTGGAGGTCAGAAAGGAGCCAAAAACATATATTGGAGAAAAGACAGCCTCTTTCATAAATGGTGCTGCAAAGAAATGGCTATGCAGATGCAGACAATTGAATCTAGAATCATACCTCGCAGCATGGACTAAACTAAAATCAAAATGGATCAAAGAACTAAATGTTAAAATGAAACCTTTAACCTGCTAGAAGATAAAATAGGTAAAGGTCTTAAAGTCATACTAGGCAAAGACTTTCTGAACAGAACTCCAGTTGCATAGGAAATAGTACCAAGAATCAACACAGGGTCATATTAAATTTAAAAGCTTCTGCACACTAAAAGGAACAACCAACAGAATAAAAAGGCAAACCACCAAATGGGGAAAAAAATTTTTTTGCCAGCTATTCCTCAGACAGAGGCCTAAGAGCTAGAATATACATAAAGAGCTCAAAAATATTAGATCTCCCCAAAATAAAAGGCTCAATTAAAAAGTGAGCAACTGAGATGAAAAGACACTTCCCAAAAGAAGAAGTACAAATTGGCCAATAAATGCACAAAGAAATGTTCAACATCACTGGCCATTACAGAAATCCAAGTGGGGGAAAAGGACTGTTTCTGTATCATTGGTGAGAATGTAAACTAATACATCTATGGAAAACAGTATGGAGATTCCTCAAAAAACTAAACATAGAGGTTTATTTTGACCCAGCTTCCCAGTAGTTAAAGATGTCATATTGCAGCAATCCGTACACACCCATGTTTATAGCAGCACAACGCCTATTAGTTATCTTGGAAGTGGCCTGTATGTCCATCAGCAGATGAAGAGTTGAAGAAGATGTGGTATTTATACACCGTGGAGTATTACTTTGCCCTGAAGATGGATGAGCTTGAGGAGGAAAATGGATGCACCTTGAGACCATAATGTTAAGTGAAATAAATCAGACCCCCAAGATTAACTATCACATGGTTTCTCTTACATGAGAAACCCAGATTATAAATAACAAAATAAAAGATAGATAACAGGAAGTAGAGAGAGCTTTCTCAGAGGGGAAGGGGATCAAGAGATGGAAAAAGAGGGAGAAAGAGGAGGGAAAGGGGATGAAAAAAAGAAATCGGGATGCATTATGTACATACACCGACTCCACACAAGGATGCAAACACATGTACGGCAAACATGTGCTGCTCAAAAGGAAAACATAAAACGCTGTGAGGGGACAGGGATTCGACTCAGTGGTTCCGCTGCCTGCTTCACAAGTGCAAGGGCCTGAGTTCGATCCCCGGCACCAGAAAAAATAAAAATAAAAAGTTGTGGGAGTCAGATTGTTGCAGCAATGGGAACTCTACTACAAATACAAGTGCCATGCCGGAGAGATGAGGACTGATTTGCTGCAAGGAGGATGTGTGCTGAGACTCAGTGGCCGCAGGTGACAGGACCCCAATTCAGAAATGGTTTAAGGAGGGGGCAGGGAAGGGAGACCACCCAGCTACTAAGTCTGGGAGGCCCAGGGATAAGCATGGCACAGAACACAGCTGGATTCCGGGCGGCCACAGACGTTATCCTGATGTTAAGTTGAAATGAGCCAAGAAAAGAAATGCAGCCAGGGATTTAGCTCAGTGGTTCCAGCACCTGCCTTGCAAGCACAAAGGCCAGAGTTTGATCCCTGGTACTGAAAAGAAATGCAGGCCACACGCCCTGCAGAGGGTAAGCCTCATCCCAGAATGCTCCAAAATCCCAAAGTTTTCTAATGCTCATGTGATGTCATAGGTGGAAAATTCCACACTGGGAGCCTTTATTTCATGCATGAAATTAATGAAAATATTAAAATTAACTTCAGGCTGGTACAGGGATTTAGCTCAGTGGTGCCACCACCTTCCTTGCAAGCACAGGGTCCCAAGTTCCATCCATGGTACCAAAAAATAAAAATAAATTTAAAAATAAAATACCATAAAAGTTAACTTCAGGCTACATGTACAGGGTATATATGAAACATAAACAAATTTCATGTCTAGACTTAGGCCTCATTCCCAAGGTATCTCATTAGGTACACACAGATATTCTAAAATGCTAAACAATCCAAAACAGTTCCCACCCCAAGCAGTTTGGATAAAGGATACTCAGCCTGTATGCTTGGTCCTGTGCCTTGCTTTGGCTAGTGAGACACTGGTTCATACGAATAGCAGACACACATATGACCATGCAATTTAACATCCTGCCAGACAAGAGCATGCCTGGGAAGTTGCTTCCTCTTTATCCAGGGCCGTAGAATGAGTGAATATGGAGCAGAATAAGCCCAACCTTCAACGTGGCACTGGGTAAGCTCGGCCAAGCCACAGCCTGAGCAAAGTCACTTATCCAGGTCCTGCACAGATCAGCTGAGCCTGCAGACCATGAAAACAGGATGAAGACTTATTATCGGCACCTTGGAATACTACTCAGCTGTTAAAAGGAATCGAATCTTGTCATTTGTGACAACGTGGATAGATGAGGAGTCCTGATGTTAAGTTGAAATGAGCCAAGAAAAGAAATGCAAGAACTACATGACCTCACTAATGTGTAGAAACTGAAAGTGTTGCTATCACAGATGGGCAGAATGGGGGTTTTCAGAGATGTGAGAGAGAGAGAGAGTAAGGGAGTGGGTGGGATGGGAGAGGTTGAGCAATGGTCATTAAGTTATAGGTGGTCAGGAGGAGGAAGTTCTGACATGCAGGCTGGGTGTGGCTCAGTGGTGAGCAGCACTTGCCTAACATGCTCAGGACCTTGAGTTCTGGTCCCAGCACTAAAACAAGAAAATTCTGATTGTTACTGCCCCGTAGGGTGACCACCAATAATGATACTGTAGTGTATGTTTCAAAACACAGAAGTAAAGCCCAGGACTTGGGAGGCTGAGGCAAGGCTGAGGCTGTGATTTCAAGGCCAGCCTGGGCTACATAGTGAGTTTGAGGCCAGCCTGAATTACATAGTGAGACCCTGTCTCAAAAACATTGAAAGACAAGCTGGGGCATAGCTCAGCAGATGAGACTTGATGTATAAGACCCCAGCCACATATTGAACTTTTACTGCGTTTTCCCTACAAAAGTGGCAACTGGAGAGGCAGACTTCTTCATGTAGAGCTCCATCCCCATCCCTTTTTTATTTTTTGTTTTGAGATAGGGTCTTGCTACTTGCTAAATTGCCCAGCCTGGGCTTGAGCTTATGCACCTCCTGCCTCCACCTCCCAGAGTTCTGGGATGACAGGTGTGACCACTATATGGAGATAGATATGTTCAGTAACATTACACAATGTATACATGTATCAAAGCATCACATGGGACCCTGTAAATACGTTATACTTTTATGTTGGCAAGTGTTCATTTAAATTTTCTAATTTTTTAAAGAATAAGTCTCTTGTGAGTAAATCCCTGCATTTGGGATGGTTGTTACACAGCAATATTATAGCAATCACTGACTGATACAAGAAGCATTGCTTTAGCATCCAAAAGCCAGCTGAGTCATCACCCACACACCATCCAACACCCACTTGCAAGAGCATCACGTATCACTTGCATCCAGAACCAACACTAGCAAAAGAAATAAAACCCCACGAGAAAATCCACCAAAGAGAAATTAAAATATACACGGCTTTACTCAGCAGCAGCAGCCCTAAGTTCCCTTTGTGAATGATTTCAGGTGCTAGCCTCATGGGAACTTGTTTCTTTTAATGCAGTGGTTCACAACATTTGAGTGTCATGGGCCCTTTGAAAACCTAAGCGCTACGACTCCTCTTTGAAAGGCACACCTCTTCCATGCTCATTGTTTATTGCACTGGAAATTAAGAGACAGTCTCTTGCTATGTTGTCCAAGCTGGCCTCAAACTCCTAGGCTCAAGTGATCTCCTGCCTCAACCTCCTGAGCAGCTGTGACTACAGACACACAACCACTGTCCCCAGTTCCTGGTGTCCCTTATTATAAGGATATAATCCTATCACATGCAGGCCCTACCCTACTAAAGCCCATTTTATTTTACCCCCTAAAGGTCCTGCCTCCAAATACAATCACATTAGTGGACTAGGGCTTTTCGATATGAATGGGGGATGCACACTGTCCATAACCAATCGCTAAACGGATGGGCAATCGCCTCCTTCCCCCAGGAAGGAAGAGCAAGTTCTTCCGGCCCTCTAGATGGCTGAGAAGCTCCAGGGCTCCTGCTTGCTTGGTCCCCTCACTTTGGACCATGGTAAAGTAGAGCATCGCGGCAGGAATGTTTTACGGAGCAAAGCTCCTCACATTATGGTGGCCAGGACGCAGAGACAAACAGATAAAGTGGGGAAAGGGGTGGAGGGAGGGAGAAAGAGGGACCAGGATCCCAATCTCCCCTCTGAGGTCACACCCACCAGTGACCTCACTTCCTCCACTAGGCCCCACCTCTTAAAGGTTCCACCACCTACTAATGCACCATAGGCTGGTGACCAAACTCAAAATCTGAGCCTTCTGGGAGACATATACCCACTCCATAACAGCAGGTGGGAGAAACTGGGGCATGGGGACATGGAGGTGGAGTCAAGGTCTATGTAAGTCCCCACGATGCAGTATTGCAATGGAGGATCCAATTTTTTTTTTTTTTTTTTTGTAGACAGGGACTCACTGTATAGTCCATACTTGAACTCATGGCAATCCTCCTGTCTCAGCCTCCTGAGTGCTGGGATACAGGCACACACCACCATGCCCAGCCGAAGGAACAAACTTTTAATCGTAGCTTTCCAGATTTCTGTCACCACCCACCATTCTGAAGTCTGTTCAAGTTACAGTGTTCCACAGAGCTGGCCTCTCATCTCCTCTTCCAGCTGGCAATCGGACCCAAAGAATCCCCTCATCTTCCATCATATCCATAATGGTGACTGCAGAACCTCGATCTCCCTCCTTCAGATGAGCACCAAGCATTGCCAAGCCCTCCCTTTTGGACCACATGTCCAAGTGGTCTGAAAGCCAGAGTAAAAACAGCAAAAGCCCCTTCAAGCGTGTGCCTCAAAAGCCTTTGCTTTGAAAGCTAGCCAACTTTCATGCAACAGAAAAGAATGCATGTTCTGCTTCTGTTTCTTGACCAAGCTCCTGCATCAAGCAGGGACTGCTCTGAGGTAGCCAGCAATGGACACAGCTGCAAGCAGCTGCTGGCAGGGGCTGGAAATCTCTGATGACAGCCTGAGAGAGGGGAGTTCTCAGGAGGGCAGGTGGCCCTGCATTAGCCCCAGAGCAGCTGAGCCAGCTGGGGTGCCCCACAACACAGGTGCCCCTAAGCTAGAAGACACAGTTTCTCCACACTGGAGTGGTGTTGGGGGCTAGGGTATAACTCAGTGGTAGGCTTGCCAGCTACATGAGGCCCTGGGTTCCATCCTAGCAATGCAAAAAAAAAAAATTAGTGTTTGGCAAAGAAACTGTTCAGCCTTTTACAGATATGAACAGTTCTGGGGTTTCCAAAATAGGGTCAGAAAATGGAAAATGTCCTTTAATGTTGTCAGTGGGCACAGGATAGGTAAGCAGATGCTCTCAGTGCTTAGAAATATCTGAGGTTCCATCCAGTTGCATGCTGAAGGGAGACCCTCCAACACCCACTTCAACATACTAAAAGAAGCCAGATATGGTGGGTGCATACCTGTAATCCCAGCACTATGAGAGGCTGAGGCAGGAGGATCTCAAGTTTGAGTCCAGTCTGGGCAACTTAGTGATTTAGTAAGACCCTGCTTCAATGTAAAAAGGGCTGGAGATGTAGCTCTGTTTGAAGGCCCCTGGGTTCAATCCCTCATACTTTTAAGAAAAGGATACTTTTAAAAATTCTGAGTTGACAGTAGAGATTCTTTGTCTTCCTTAATTCAAATCATAGATCAATTCTCACTTCTCACAGTCACGAGTAGAAGAATGCTCTCAAGGAACTTTTAATTCCCCAGAAATTCTACTATCATGGAGGAGGTAAAATCAGACTGGCTACAAGAGAAAGCACTGGAAAGGAGGTCCTGGAGCCTAGATACAGGATGAAGTCTGCTAAAGTGTAAGGGACAATGTCCCTTCTAGAAGAAGCTGAGAGCTTGCTGCATACGCAATGGCAAGCTTTTGTGGCACAGCGACACACGATCAATATAAGCTGAGTCTCCACAGTTCAGTCAGCTTTCCCATCGCTGGGACACAATACCTTACACTCACAATTTAAAGGAGGAAAGGTTTATCTGGCTCACGGCCTCAGCGGATTCAGTCCATGGTCAGCCGGTTCCAAGGCAGAACCATCATGGTGGAAGGGAGTAGAGAAGCACAGCTGCTCAGTTCATGGGGCACAGGAAGCAGAGCAGAGGATCGGTGCCAGAGAGGAAGGAGTAAGGGACCAGCTAGAGACCCAAGGCCACTCCTCTATGATCCACCCAGAAGTGTGCTGTGCCCTGGGTGACTCCCAGATCCTCAAACTTCACCACCACAGTTAACTCACTCTGAAAACAGCAACCTCTTTTGTCAAATCTCAAAGAATTTTAATTGTAGTAAAAAATAACTAACAGTTCGATGCCTGGTATAAAAAAATAACTATCATCATAACCATATTTAAATGTACATTTCAGTAGTGTTATACATATCCACTGTCGTGCGACCAATCTCCAGGACCTTTTCATCCACCTCAACTGATCTGATGCAAATTCCACCCCCCTGTTGAGGTTTGGGTCTGGAACTGTCTGTCCCCCGTGGCCTCATGTTTTGGAGACAGGGCTCTCGGAAGGTGGGTGGGTCACAGGAGCACAGCAGCAGCTGCTGAGTGTGCTGTCAGGAGGCGTAGCCTGGCAGATATATCTCCTCCTCTAGCTCCTCCTCTCTCTCTCTGCTTCCTGTCCACCATGAGGTGAGCAGCTCTTTTCCACCCAGGCCCTTCCACCATGTCCTTAGTGTGTTTGAGCCTGCTCACTGGAGCTTCTGAAAATGAGTAAAAACAAAGCTCTCCTCCTTTAAGTTACGGGTGTTGGATCTTGTGTCTCAGAAACAAGAAAGTAGCTAAGACACTCTCCATTTCCCTCACAGCCCCTGGCACCCACCATTCCACTTTCTGTCTCTATAAACTTACTGTTTGCTGGGCATGACAGTCCAATGCTACTTGGGAGGATAAGGCAGGAGCATTGCAAGTTCAAGGCCAGCCCGGGGAACATAGCAAGACCGTGTCTCAAAGGAAAACTAAAAGGATAGGGGATGTAGAGCACCTCTGGGCTTAATCCACAGTACCCTCTCTCAAAATTTAACAACAACAAAAAAAAGGGGCCGGGGATTTAGCTCAGTGGTTCTGCCATCTGCCTTGCAAGCACAAGGTCCCAAGTTCAATCCCCAGTACAAAATATAAAAATGGCAGAGGATATAGCTCAATACAAAAGCCTTAAATTCAATATTCTGTACCCCAAAACAAAGATTAATTAAATTTTAAAAAGCTGAAGAGGCAGTTCAAATTCAATCCCCAGTACAAAAAATAAAAATGGCAGAGGATATAGCTCAATACAAAAGCCTTAAATTCAATATTCTGTACCCCAAAACAAAGATTAATTAAATTTTAAAAAGCTGAAGAGGCAGTTCAATGTGAATCTCTGCATCTGATTCCCAATACCACAAAAGAAAAAAGAATGACATCCTAACATGTGCAGTGGTGCATGCCTGTAATCCCAGCACTCAGGAGGCTGAGGCAGGAGGATCACCTCAAATTCATGGTCACTCTGGGCTATGTAGTGAGTTCAAGACCAGCCTGATCTATAGTGAGATACTGTCTCAAAAAAACAATACAAAACAAAATACATTGTGAATATCCAAATAACTATAAAAGAGAAGTTTGAATGTTCCCACCATAAAGAAATGATAATGAGGGTCAGGGATTTAGCTCAGTGGTTCTGTCACCTGCCTCGCAAATGCAAGGTCCTCAGTTCTATCCCCGGTACCATCTGGTACCATTTTTTAAAAAATAAAAAAAGAAATGATAATGGTTGAGGTGGAGAATATGCTAATTACTAAGTTTTTGTCATGATACTTGTAGGGACAGAAGGGTCCCTTAGGTTGGGTTAAAATAAAGCCCTGGGCCCTTTTTGAGGGTAAGGAGAAAACAGCTTCTGGGTGGCTAAGAGCAGACAGCAGTTTTCAAGCACTTTTGTGGGTTTCTTCTGAGGCTGACGGGTTAAGGCTTAGCATCTTCTTCTGTGCGGGCAGCACTATACCTCCCAGCACAGGCTGCCATGCCTGCCCTACTTCCCGATTAGCCCACAGGACCAAATCCCTAGCAACAAGCGCAGTGTCCGATCCACCAAGTGAAGACCCACAGAGGGGAGACAGGGCCCCTGGCCCACAAAACAGGACCGAAGCCCCAGATTCGGCAGCCTCAGCTCTGGCCCCCACTCCTCTGGAATGGCTTTGTACCACTTCCTCTTGCAATACCCACAATGAAGTTACTTTTGCTTTGCACTGGTCTTCTGATTCCTCTTCCTCTTTCTACATCAGAGAGAGAGAGAGAGCAAGAGGGAGAGAGAGAAGCCCGATGAGGGTGAGTCTAGGGACCCCTAGACCCCAGACCCAGTGACAACATAATCTGCGCCTACTGACACACCACACTATTATATGCACAATTAGTATTAATAATCAATGTTAAAGCCCTTGCCAGCATGCATGAACCTCTGGGTTCTATCCCCAGCACCATAAAGTAAATTAAGTTTTTAAAGCAACACATGGTTAATACAATCACCCACTCTGGCCCTACACTTCTCCTTTGACTGTGTGTTACGTGTGTGTGTGTGTGTGTGTGTGTGTGTGTGTGTGTGTGGTATTGGGGATGGAACCCATGGGTGTTCAACTACTGAACTATACCCCAACCCTTTTTATTTTTTATATGAGATAGGATCTTGCTAAGTTGCCCAGGCTGGGCTAGAAGTTGTGATCCTCCTGCCTCAGCCTCCTGAGTAGCCAAGATTATGGGCATGAGACACCACAACCAGCCTGATTTATTTTTCTTCATATTAATTACCAATATCTGGCACTGTGTACACTTTCACTCTTTATTTTGTTTCTTATCTGACTCCCCAACTAGGCTGCCGGCCCTGTGAAGGCAGAAGTTGTTTATTTTGGTCCCGGATGTTTGCCAATGCCTAGAATCACACCTGCTACAATTAATTAACTGACTGAGCCAATCCATACATTCCTTGAGTACCCAACGCAACTCTTCAGCAGCAGGTGCCACACATCCAGAGTCTTTCTGGGCTCTTCTGTGGCTTTTTTTTTTTTTTTCCTTGCAGTAGTGGGGATCGAACTCAGGACCTTGCACTCGTGAGGCAGTGGTGGCACCACTGAGCTAAATCCCAAACCCTTCCGTGGTTTATCTGATGTGATCCCAAAGCATTCATATCAGCACTGCAGGCAATCTGCCTGACATTAAAACCCAGTATCTGTAATTCCAGAACTGTGGGAGGCTAAAGCAGGAGGACTGAAAATTCAAGCCTACCCTGGGCAATTTAGGGAGACCCTGTGTCAAAATAAAAGATTAAAAAGAGGGCAGGGGATGTAGCGGAGTATAAAGGCCCTGGCTTCAACTCCCAGTACAAGAGGGGGTGGAGTGGAGGGACCCTTAGCAGGAGAAAACATGTTGGATGACCTTGTACTTTGTGGGAGGCTAAAGCAGGAGGACTGAAAATTCAAGCCTACCCTGGGCAATTTAGGGAGACCCTGTGTCAAAATAAAAGATTAAAAAGAGGGCAGGGGATGTAGCGGAGTATAAAGGCCCTGGCTTCAACTCCCAGTACAAGAGGGGGTGGAGTGGAGGGACCCTTAGCAGGAGAAAACATGTTGGATGACCTTGTACTTTGTACTT